GGCGGCGCGATGCGCGAGTGGACGTTGACGACGAGACCGTGCTTTTCCTTGCGCCACTCTACGCGCTTGATGTTGTGGCTCGTCTGGTGCAGACGGCGATCTTCCCATTGCTGTCCGAAGCGGCCGCCACGGTCGTTGTCGGTAAGGGCACGGTAAAAGTCTATGACAAAGGGTGTGGTGAGGAGCTCGATGTGCGGGTGGGAGGCTTTACGCCAGGAGGTGAGGGTGCCGAGTTGGAGGTCGATGCCCCAAGTTGAGAGGCCTGTTGCGGAGGTGATGGAGAGGAGGGAGGGGGAGGTTTGCTGGATGGTGGGAACGGGGTCGAGGAAGGGGTTGGAGAGGGAGGAGAGGATTGTGGACATGGAGGGAGCCTTGGAGAGGGCGACTTGGCCGAAGGCGACGCGGTGGCCTTTTTTGGCCCAATTTGTGGCTTTGGTGAGGAAGAAGTCGATGTGGAGGTAGGCTTCGGCGGTGAGGTTCTTGGGAAGGCCTTTGATCTTGAGGTGCGCCTTGGTGTGAGGTTTGATGCCTATGATGTGTTAGATGAGCTAGATAGAAGGGACTGGGGACAGAAAAAAAGGGGCAACAAACCCTTGGGGATTTCGACCTCCTGGTCACCGCCGATGACCATGCCGTCGGCGACGATGTGCCAGGTGGCGGTAAGGTGGTCCAAAGACACGATGTCGTAACGGTTGATGATGATGACTTGGTTGTCCTTGATCTCAAGCGTCTGAACTGGCTCAATCGCCTTGCCGTACTCGACAAGGCCGGGAGTGGGAGTATGGTTGGCGAAGCAAAGACCGTCAAAGACAAAGTTGTAGTCGTTGGGGACGTCGCCAAAGTCACCTCCGTAGCCCATGTACTCCTCACCATCATCGTTCGTGGTGCGCAGGCCCTGGATACTGTTAGTATGTGATGAAGGATATGAGAGGGAAAGTATCTTACGTGGTTAGCCCATTCCCAGACGAAACCTCCCATCAGGCGCGGGTACTTGTAAAAGGCGTCAATGTACTCCTTGATGCCACCGGGACCATTGCCCATGGCGTGGATATACTCGCAAAGCACGAGCGGCTTGGCCCAGTCCTTCTGCGACGCCGTGTTGACAATCTCTTCAGCAGAGGCGTACATCCTGCTATAGATATCCGCCGTCGACGCATTCCAATCGCCCTCGTAGTGCACAAGACGGGACTTGTCGATACTCTTTATCACGTCGTACATGTGCTGGTGGTTTCGCCCGTAGAAGGACTCGTTGCCCAAAGACCACAGGATGACCGAGGCGTGGTTCTTGTCGCGCTGGACCATCTGCCTCGCGCGATCCTCATAGGCCTCTCTCCAATCTGGGTTATCAGTGGCCCAGCTTTCGCCCGCGTTTCCGAGGACGCCGAAGCCGTGACACTCGAGGTCAGCCTCATCGAGGATCCAAATGCCGAGCTCGTCTGCGAGGTCGTAAAGGCGGGGGTCATTGATGTAGTGGGAGGTACGGATGCCGTTAACGTTGAAGTGCTTCATCAGAAGCAGGTCGCGTTTCAGGAAGTCGTAAGGCACGGCGCGGCCCGAGTCCGGGTGATGCTCGTGGCGGTTCACGCCGCGGATCTTGATGGGGTCGCCGTTTACGCTGAAGACCCCCTTGATCAGCTCAGCGCGGCGGAAACCCACACGCTGGACTAGGCTGCACTTTTTGAAGTTGAGGACAAGGGTGTAGAGGTATGGAGTCTCGGCCGTCCACTTGTGCGGGTTCTTGACGCGGATGTCGAAGCTATTGTGCCGGTCAAAGATCTTCATGTCTTTGGCGATGAGCTTGCCGTCGGCATCGAGGAGCTTCATATCGACATACGCGCCCTGGCTCATCTCGACGTCGACCTTCAAGGTGGCATCCTTGTAATCGTCGTCCAGAAGGGTGTGAACGTGGTAGTCGATTGGGTGGAACTTGGGGAAAGCGTGGAGGTAGATATCTCTGAAGATGCCGCTGAGCCACCACTGGTCTTGATCCTCGAGGTAGGTGCCATCACATCTCTGATAGACCTCGACGGCAAGAAGATTGTCCTCGCCAACCTTGACAAAGTCCGTGACGTCGAATTCGCTTGGGTTACGAGCTCCCTGAGAGTAGCCGACTTCCTTGCCATTGACCCAGACGGTAAAGGCAGAGTCGACGCCCTCGAAGCGCAGTCTCAGCTGGTGGTCCGCAAAGTCGTCACCAACTTTGAAGGTCGTCACATGTCTGCCGCATTCATTGTCATCGTAGGGGATGTTGGGCGCATCAACGGGCCAGGGGAAGTTGAGATTGGTGTATTGAGGACCTTTGCCGTAGCCCTGGCATTGCCACATACCGGGCACGATAATGTCGTCCCATTCTGAGGTGTCATAATCGGTCTTGTAAAAGTCCCGAGGTTCATGGAAGGGCGATGTGGTCAGGTGGAATTTCCATTTTCCGGAAAGAAGGAGTGACTTGGACTTGGATGTATCCCTGGTCAGGGCATCCTCTTCGGTGTTGTAAAGGAAGAAGTAGCTCCGTGGTGGAAGAGTGTTGCGATGGAGCACTTTGAGGTTGCTCCAATCGGGAAGGCTCTTTGGGAACGAGTGAGTTGGAGCTTCAACAACGGTGGTGGTTGTCTCTTGTCTGGAGGGTCCGGCTGTGGATGATGAGCCCTCACTTGACGAGCTACCCAGACGACGATGGCGGCCTAGCTTCTGCATGTAGACACTCAGATGGAGGTCAGTCTCGGAAGAGATGTCGACGTAGTCATCGGAGATGTCGGACATGGTGGTGGTGTGGTAGTACAGAGCTCGGCGCCGGCGACCGAGGCGGAGAAGGATGCGGATGTGGATTCAAGGGACGGGCAAAGACAGGGATAGTGGAGACACGATGAACGGAGATGAGGAATTGACGGGGCATGCAAGTCGGTATCTTTAGTAGCGTGGTGGTTTATGGAGTAGTGTAGATAGCAGGTCAATCGCACACGATAATGAGCTGTTGAGAGTGGATAGAGGTTGGAAAGCAGTGTCCGGGAGGTTGTGGAAGTGGAGGAGTACACTGGCGATTGGAGCTTTGGGATCGGAGCTGGTGAGCTCTGGCACCATCTTCATACGAGCCGAGCTCCAAGGTGTCAGGATTCCACGGTCAGGAACGTCACCTGAGCACCCGACCTGAGACGGTGCAGCGTCAGGGAGTGCGGGGGAATCACGAGGGAACAGCTGCAAGGGGAAGGATTGGGGGAAGCGGGGTAGCTGGTGATTGGCCGACACGGGCTTAGGTAATGCTTCAGAGTTGGAGTTTAAACTTGGGGGCCTGAGGATTAGATCTGTCCGTCCTGATTCCTGAGGCCACACAGTAAGGCAACAAGGGAACAAAGATGCACGTGACATGTCAGTGCCTGTTTCGCCGTTGGGATGTCGACCGAACACCTGGAGGGTCTGGGTGCCTGAGGTGGAACAAAGCCCCGGCCGGGAGCATTTCGGATATCCTCGGCCTCAGCTCCAACTACTGGCACCTGAGGCAGTTTAACTTTTTGAACCTTCACTTCACATCAGCGGGAACTGTTGTTCTTTTCAAAGGATGAAGTATCAACCGCTCCACGCATCACCAGACCAAATCCTCTACGTTACACGAGCCGTTTGCTCTCTGTTCTAGACCAAGTCCCGAGTCATGCTGGGGCTCCATCCGAGAATTTCTCCATTCCTGCATCGTGTCCCAGACTCCCAGCGACTCCAGCGACCAATGCTTTGCTTCTTCTTATGAGGCGGTACGTTCCGCCAGGGTCCAACACCCAATCCCCGGACCCGCAATTCCCCAGTCGGGGCTAGCGCCGAACTGTGGCCTCGGCCTTCAACCCCGTCTGGGGTTCGGGGGAGCCTCTCCACCCGGTCTTCGTTCCTCCTTTTCCCGAGCTTTTTTCTTTTCTCCTTCTCTTATTTTGCCTCTTTTCTGTCGCGGCTCGCCCAACCACCTGCTCATGGGTCGTTAGTCTCGGCGTTCTTCCGTGACAGGCTTGACATTATATCCCTACTACGGATACTGCACTGCCGTAGCGCGTGGCCCAATGTTTGAACTGTTTGGACTTGCGGCAACGCGATCTTGATCTTACTGCGCCGCATCCGTCACGGCCTAAGCTTGCTCCAGAGTAGCGTACCGGGCTCTTTTGCCGGGCATCGTGCCGGGCACTGCATCGGCCTGCCGCCGCCACCATCTCTGTGTTGGTTCGGCATGCCTTGGCTGACGCTGCTTATCATCCAAACCGGAAACCGGCGCGTCGCATGTACACTTTGAGCTGCGCTTCCCCTCATCAGCAGCCCATCTTGGGTCTCTCGTGCTGCCTTGCATCAAGAGCCGACATGGATAACCACACGAATCACACGTCGCATTGTAATTTCTGCCACGCTAGGATTGGATCTTCTCCGATACCTGGGGTCGAAATCCAGGCGAGATGGGGTACCCATGAGGAGGCGAAGCTGTGCGGAGGAGATCCGTCTTTCAAAGTTGGCGCCGTCTTTACCAAGTGCTACAGGATTAGCGATTGAACTGCTAGTAACGACTTGCGAGCGCAAGAACGGATCATATCATAACCTTTTCTCTTGAGCCCCGTCAAGTCGCCGCAAGACTCCGCTAGAATGTCGTCCACGTGCCGCGGCTCCGTGTTCCCCGTGTAAACCAGCCCATTGCCTGGTTGTCTCTCACCATGTGGGGAACACCACCAACGTTAACCCCATATCCAAAGCTGGGACTGGGGGCCGAGTTTACGGTGTGTGGGAGCACCGAAAGATGGGGAAACTCATGTAACGGTAGTTCGAGGATGGATACCGACCCGTTGGTTGGGCCAGCGTTGACAAGCGTCCCTGTCTGTTGATCCCATGCCTTGGCCAGATTTTCGCTTTCCTCTTTAAAAGAATCGGCCCATCCCGCGCATATCTCTCGCGCGCGTCTGCCTCCTCCCCAGTTGCCACTCTCGAACAAATCAGCAGAAAACGAGCACGCTGCGGTTCAGTTGCCCAATCCTGGAGCCACAATGGCAAAACTCGAAGACGAACTCAAGGGCCAGACGGTGGTCGAACACGACAATGAGCCACCCGCGTACGATGAAAAGGCTGCCGTCGGCGAGGTGAAGGAGATCAATGCCGCCTCCGTCGCGTTGGCTGCCGCCACGGCGGAGCAGCAAGTGAACTGGTGGTCGCCCAACATGATCAAGTTGTACGGCATCATGGCCATCGGCTATCTTGTAAGACTTTCTGAGCCTACACTGTTGGTCGAGATGAGCTAATGAATATGCTGTCCATCAGGTGTCAACCATGAACGGCTTCGGTGAGTTTACACAACACGCAGTAGATCGGGTGTACGTTCATCAGCTAACGATATTTCTCAAGACTCGTCCCTCATGGGAGCGATCAACGCCATGCCACCCTATCAAGAGACCTTCGGACTTTCGAGCGCCGGTTCCACAACTGGTATCGTCTTCATGATCTACCAAGTCGGCCAAATTTGCAGTTTCCCGTTCTGCGGCATGATCGCAGATGGCTGGGGTCGAAGATGGTGTATCTTCATCGGCTGCTTCATTGTTCTCATTGGCACCGCTATCCAAGCACCTGCCCAACACCTGGGACAGTTCGTGGCAGGCCGGTTTGTTCTCGGCTTTGGAGCTTCTCGTATGCCGTCCTCATTCTCAAGAGCAATCGCGCGAAACCAAATCTCTAACATTGCATAGTCGCTTCTGCTGCTGGACCTGCTTACGTCGTCGAGCTGGCGCATCCTTCCGCCCGTGGAACCATGGCTGGTCTTTACAATAACTTTTGGTGGCTTGGAAACATTTTGGCCGGTTGGACTACCGTGAGTATCGCCAACTTGTATCATGGCGGGCCAACACCCCTAACTGAGAATGGCAGTACGGATCGAACCACCATATCAAGACAAGCTGGGCGTGGCGAATCCCCACCGTCGTTCAGGCCGCTATGCCTGGAGTAGTCATGATATTCATCATGTTCTTCCCCGAAAGTCCTCGATGGCTCATCTCAAAAGACCGCGCAGAGGAGGCGCTCGCGATCCTGGCCAAGTACCACGGTGATGGCGACGTAAACTCCCCCGTCGTGCAGCTTCAGTACCGCGAGATCATTGAGGATCACCACTCGACCACCGACGAGAACCCTTGGTGGCAGATGAAGGAGCTCTTCAACACCAAGGCCCGCCGCTACAGACTCTTCATGGTCATCGCCATGGCTTTCATCGGCCAGTGGTCGTAAGTAACGCCCAGCTCGATTATCGTGCGGACCTCGCAGTGTTTGGTCATCAACTAACCATGCTCTTCATCAACAGCGGAAACAACGTCGTATCCTACTTCATGCCCGAGATGTTCAAGCAAGCCGGTATCACCGACGACAACACCCAACTCCTCCTCAACGCCATCAACCCAATCTTCTCCATGATCGCCGCCATCTGGGGCGCGACCCTCCTTGACAAGCTCGGCCGCCGCTTCATGATGCTGGCTGGCTTGGCGGGCTCGCTCGCCTCATACATCATGCTCACGGCCTTCACCGCCGAGTCGGCCAACCACAAGAACCTCTCGTACGGCGTCATCGTCTCCATCTACGTGTTTGGTATCTGCTTCGCCTGGGGTTTCACGCCGCTTCAGACGCTGTATGCCGTGGAGTGTCTCGAGAACCGCACCCGTGCCAAGGGATCTGGACTTTCCTTCCTGTTCCTTAATGTCGCTATCATGATCAACACCTACGGTATCTCCGTCGGCATGGAGAAGATTGCGTGGAAGTTGTACCTCGTGTACATTGCCTGGATTGTAAGTTCATACCAAAACTTTTTGACATTGGCTGTTGCGGTTGCTGACGAATTCAGTGCATTGAAATGGCAATCATTTACTTCTTCTTCGTTGAAACGGCTGGAAAGACGCTGGAAGAGCTCAAGTCCATTTTTGAGGCGCCCAACCCGAGGAAAGAGTCAACCAAGAAGACAAAGGTTGCTGTCGACGAGGCTGGTAATGTCGTCAACGTCGGTGCGACCACTTCTGGTATCTAAGTGACAATGCCTTGAGTACTATACATGCATAGTCCATCCGGTCATTTGATTACTGACAGAAATAAGGAAGGGAAGAAATGAGAGATGAACTAATGGAAGGAAGAAAAGAGATGACACAGAGTATAGAGACACTGGGTTGCCTTCCAGCTTAGGTACTTATGCTCGACGCTTCTTCCACGATACCCCCTAATTATATAACAAATACTTTTCATGCCCCGCTTCTGGTGGGATTCCTGAAGAATAATATTGACTTGGAGACTCCGTTGCATCGTGCATTTTCCTCTTGGAGAAACTGACTCTCGTTACTGCACTCGCTCCGTACCAAACTTGGTATGAATGTCACACCGAGCCATGCCACCCCACCACCACGCATTCCCGACGGGGCTCCGCCAATCGAATGCCCCCATTCCCGCCGTCTGGGCGAACTACCCTCGTCGTTCTTCCCAATTCATCTCTTCCCAACTCAGCCATCTACCGCTTCCCGCTTCTGGCCAGGTCCCATGCTCTACACATTGCGCCCATGGGGAAAGCAGATCCTCTGGGATCCGAATCTTGGGACTGGGCCCGTCCGGCTTGCAGTCTGCAGACCCCCATCACCAAAGAGCTGAACAAGTTTGCCGATCCACCGCGGCTAACGTGGGCGAGCCGACTTCACGGAAATGACGGGACGCGTCCCTGACTGACGGCTTTCTGGGGGTGTCAAGAACCAAGTCCAAGGGACCAGCTGTCTGTCTTGCATCACGCCATGACGGTAATTGCAGACCGCGGTCATCCCACAGAGGGAGGGTGGTAACCATCATGTGATGACCCGGATGACAGGCCTCGATTTCCTCTTTGGGCAATCACGATCTTGGGCCGAGAGGATGGGGGGAATGCTTGGCTATGTACGTTGTTCCTGGGACCTGCGTGTACAAATGAACTCGTCTACGATTTGCTCTCGGTGGCCCCTCATGCATGGACCTCCAAGCGGAAGCTTTCCTTCCTTCAACGGTAAACGGGAGTAGTGCGGCCGGCTTGTCGGGAAGCTTAGGGCCGTAACCTCATTTGACTTGGCCATGGCTTTGGAGAGTTGATTGATGGAATTTGGAGAGCTGTAGTCTTGACCTGTCTCATTTCCGGCACGGAGTCACGATGGATTTGCTCGGCTTCTCGATGTCGACCTTGTTGTGAGTGTGCCTTGTGGCCCGATACGTTTCTTTAGGATGCCGGCGATCCGACGGCGTGTTAATGGGAAAGAGGCACTCCTTCATTTATAGCCCTGGCCTGAACCACGCTGTCGTCGATCTTCCTCCTTTTCTGTTCCATCCCCACAAGATCCTATATCACCTCCCGGTATAGATCCAGAGGTAACTTCATTGCCCGCCTCTGTCCATCGACAAGTCGTCCTTTAAAGACAAGAAGTCTTTGGCTCAGGATGAAGTACGCCAACCTCCTCCTGGCGGCCTTCGCGGCTCCGATCCAGGCGGCTTTCACCTGGAAGAATGTCAAGATTGGCGGCGGTGGAGGATTTGTTCCTTCGATTCAGTTCCATCCCACAACGAAGGGCGTTGCGTATGCTAGGACCGACATTGGTGGGCTGTATCGCCTCAATGCCGATGACTCGTGGACTCCGGTGACCGACGCCAACGGCTTTGCTGATGATTCTCACTGGAACCGGTGGGGTGTTGATGCTCTTGCGCTAGATCCCCAGGACCCAAACAAGGTCTTCATCGCCGTTGGCATGTATACCAACAGCTGGTATGTACATTGCATCGTTCTCAAGTGCTTGACTGTGTTGACGTAGATCCTAGGGACCCAAATAATGGACAAATTGCTCGTAGCTCCGACAAGGGCGCGACCTGGTCCTTCACCGACCTGCCTTTCAAGGTGAGAGTTACTTCCACTTCATCAACAGCAAGCACTGACATTCATCAAGGTCGGAGGTAACATGCCTGGAAGAGGAAATGGCGAGCGTCTTGCAGTAGACCCCAAGAACTCTAACATCATCTACTTTGGTGCCCGAAGTGGTAATGGACTTTACAAGAGTACCAACGGAGGCAAGTCCACTCGAGAACAACTAGTTCGATGCGCATATGATTGACGTTCAATCACTTCTCAGGCACAAGCTTCTCCAAGGTCTCCTCCTTCACCGCAGTCGGCACATTCCGTGCCGGACCTGCCGACAACGAGTACAGCGGCGACATTCAGGGTATCAACTTTGTGACTTTCGACTCAACTTCCGCCGCTCTCAGCGGAGCTACTTCAAGGATCTTTGTTGGCGTTGCCGAGAACACTACTTCATCCGTTTATGTCTCTAACGACGCCGGCTCAACTTGGTCGGCAGTTGCTGGCCAGCCCGGCAGATACTTCCCCCACAAGGGAAGGATTCAGCCCACAGAGAAGGTAGGTGATGAAACACTCCCTGAACGACTGATAGCCATTTAATGAGGGGTAATAGGCTCTCTACCTCACATACTCGGACGGTACTGGTCCCTATGACGGCACTTCAGGTTCCGTATGGAGATACGACCTCACTGCCAACACTTGGAAGGACATTACTCCTGTCGCGCCAGGCTCCGACCTGTACTTTGGTTTCGGTAAGCTCCCATTTCCTTTGGGCCCGAGTTGTCGAATTCCCGAGTTATTAGCGGCAGCCTATGAGAGGTTATTTGCTAACTTTGTCAAGGTGGACTTGGTCTCGACATGCAAAAGCCCGGGACCCTTGTCGTTGCCACTCTCAACAGCTGGTGGCCGGATGCGCAACTGTTCAGATCAACTGATTCTGGTGCCACATGGAAGAAGATCTGGACATGGGGTACCGACGGTAACCAAAACATCAGTTATGCTCAGACCAGCCCCAAGGTATGTGGAACACCGCTTGACTTGAACGTTTTAAATGCATGTATCCGGAAGAGCTCTTGCGCTGACAAAGACTAGGCTCCTTGGATCAAAACCAACTTTCTTGACGTCGACACCAAAGATTTGGGCTGGATGATTGAGTCCCTTGAGATCGATCCGCTCGACTCAAACCACTGGCTTTGGGGAACTGGTCTGACCATTTTCGGTGGCCATGACCTCACCAACTGGGATACAGGCGCCAAGGTTAACATCCAGTCACTCGCAGATGGCATCGAGGAAATGTCTATCCAGGAACTCGCCAGTGCTCCCGGAGGCTCAGAGCTCTTGGTCGCCAACTACGACAACAACGGATTCACTTTTAAGGCCAAGAGCAACCTTGATACATCGCCCCAGACCACTTGGACTACTCCCATGTGGGCTAGCTCTGTTGGCGTTGATTACGCCGGTAACAAGGTCGCCAATGTCGTCCGCGTCGGCAACACCGCAGGCACCCAGCAACTGGCTGTCAGTTCCGATGGCGGAGCCACCTGGAACATCAACTACGCCGCCGGCACGACGCAGTACGGCGGCACAGTCGCGTACTCCGCCGACGCCGATACGATTCTTTGGTCGACTGCAACTCTCGGAGTGCAGAGGAGCCAGAACCAAGGCTCTCTGGCCGTCGTCTCCAGCATACCAGCCGGCGCCATTATCGCCAGCGACAAGAAGAACAACACCGTCTTCTACGGCGCCTCCGGCTCCAGCTTTTACCGCTCCACCAACCTCGGCGCAACGTTCGCCACTTCCGGCTCCTTTGGTTCCGCCACCGGAATCCGCCACGTCGAAGCCCACCCGGCCAAGGCCGGCGACGTCTGGGTCTCAACCGACGTGGGAATCTTCCACAGCACCGACTACGGCGTCACCTTCACTCAGGTCTCCACCACTCTTACCAACACAAACAAGATCGCTCTTGGCAAGGGCTCCGGCACCAGCTGGAATCTCTACGCCTTCGGCACCGGCTCCGCAGGCCGCAGACTCTATGGCAGCGCCGACCTTGGCGCCTCCTGGACAGACCTCCAGGGCACTCAGAGCTTTGGCGCCATCGACAGCGCCAAGCTTGCCGGCTCTGGCAATGAGGAGAACCTGGTGTACGTTGGCACTAACGGTCGTGGTGCCTTTTACGCATCTGGCGTTATTGCTTCCTCCGGTGGTAGCGCGACCACCGTCGCGCCGACATCGACTAGCAGGGCTTCGAGCTCTACGGCTGCCGTGACCTCTTCGACTTCCTCTGCTAGGTCTTCCACCTTGACTACTTCGACCACGGTCCGAACTTCGTCCAGCTCCGCGCCCGCGGCTACGGCGACGAATCTGGCTCCGCAGTACGGGCAATGCGGAGGTCAAGGGTGGACTGGTCCTACGCAGTGCGTGTCGCCGTATACTTGCACCGTCGCGAATCAATGGTACTCCCAGTGTCTTTGAACAGGCAAAAGAGGAGTTTCGTCATTAGTAGTGGACGGGTATGTAATACGAGGAGTGTAGAAAGTCACGATACAAATGATGGATGTTTTCTTTCTTTCGCTTGTAGGATGAACGACTATAGTGGTAATTCATTATTTCTATGAATTTCCGCACTGAACCTGTTTCTCACGTGGACCTAGCATGTCCATCTTATCAGACTTTAATGCCAAACAGGCTCTGCAGACGTGGATGCTGTATGGTCAACATACGACGGGCCTTTAACAAACGCCTTCAATCACTCTCTTAAGAAACGGAGAAAGCTTCGTCCAATGAGAACTCCATCGTGAGCATCCGAGTACCTTGCCATTGCGTCTTTGAAAGGTTCTTCGGGGATAATACCAGCCTGATGGCGGATCTGTAGCATCTCGCTCATCATGAAAGGGGAGAACTCAGGGTGGCCCTGCACTGTGATGAACCTCCGAGGGACATACAGGGCTTGAATTGGGCATTGCTTGGTGTGGGCTAATAATGTGACACCAGAAGGCAGGCCGAGAACTGCATCGCGATGTGTTTGATAGATGCTCTGATGATTTCAATGCCTCATGGTCAGCATAGCTTGGGATCTAGGGATCTAGGGCAAAGGATTTCATCCACGTTCATGTTTGAGGGAGGGAATGAGCGTACCAGGCTCTCAGATCCAAACACTTCCTTGCCCTCGTCTGTCAACTCCAGCTTCGTGACAGACAGCTCCCAACCTCCGGGAGACCGAGCAACCTGTGCACCAAGGGCGCGAGCAACGATCTGGTGCCCGAAGCAAACACCAATGACGCGGACACGGCCCTCATCCAGAAGCCTCCGGGTGAAAGCCGTCAGCCTCACAATCCATTCATCGTCCGCGTAAGCCGAATGTCGAGATCCCGTGATGAGCACGGCATCGACATCCTCAGGCTCGGGGTAAGCGGCATCCACACCGTCTTCAGCCACCACGTTGTACGAAGTCAGCGCGAGCTGGGACTCCGGCGCCTGCCGTGGGGCAAGGCTTTCGCATGCATTTCTGAGAAGTGTCGTGAAGATGGTGTCGAAGCGGCCTAGCTTAGCCGATACGCTAGGCAGCGGCTCATCGGTAACGAGGATAGCCAGTCGGACTGGGTCAGGAGTAGGGATGGAGCCCATTATATGCAGTGCTTACGATGGCCTAATGAAAATGACTCGTCTTTGCAAGGAAGTTGAAGCGGCAGGAAGTGTGATATGGTCTTTCACAAGGGGAGGCTTATATGAGGAAGCGCCACTGACTTATAAATCTGCCCGGGATGATGAGATACCGGCGCCCCCGAGGTGATACAAGTCGACAGTCGTAGGGCTGTGCTGGCTCCACGATTCTGGCTCCAGCTGACACAATAGGCAACATTACATCGCCTCGATCGTGGGGGCGCGAATTTAACACGCTTTCCCACAGGGATTCCTGAGCGAATACGGGTCCCTGCCTATGCGAATGTCTTCCCAGAGGCTAGTTATGCGGCCGTTGCTGACTGAAGCTGCCTCTCTAATTCTCATTTTTGAATCATGCATCGTGACAGCCTTGAGCTCCATAGCCGTCTCAGTGTCAATTCTGTGTGAGTCTATCATTTTCCAAGCTTTCTTCGCCCGATTATCGCCGGGACATCAACTCTCTGTGTCTTCGCTTGTCATCTCCTCCAACGAAGTCTGGTTACCAGATACTGGCTCCTTAATCGTGATATACTGACTATGAGCCCTGATTCTGCTCCCGTACTTGTATAGCACCCACGGTACTGGCACCAGAACTACCGAGACAAAGCCTAGCAGACTACTCGCCCACCCGATCCCCATGGAGGAGAACATTTGCACCGTGAACAGAGGAAACGCACCTCCGCCCGCATATCTCAGAAGGCTGTTGGCACTGAGAGCGCTCGCGCCATGCAACGAACCATAGGAGTTCATAATGTACAGCGCGCCGCTGCTATAGACCATAATGTTGCCCACGGCAAATGGCACAGACGCAATGACTGGACTGAGCCAGTAGACACCCTTGTCGGCTGTCCATCCGAACCAGAACAGGCTGGCCGGATTGAGCGCGCATCCGACCATGGCACCGTAGAGGCGATACTCTGGGGGCACCGCGCCGACTCCGTATTTCGCCTCCAGCGCTGGGTAGGTCTTGCGATCAATGTAGACCACAGCTAAGAAGCCGATGACGCAGCCTAGCGCGATAGAGATGAAAGTCAGACCCTGCTGCCCTGGGGTGAAGCCGTAGTGCCCCCCAAAAACGTAGGGAAAGGCTGCAAAAAAGCTGTAAAAGACAGCGAAGTTGAATGCCATATAGATGGTCATGAAGAGCACGATGGACTCGACAAAGAGCATCTTGAAAGGCTTGAGGACGATACGTTGGATGATTGCACTCGAAGGGAGGGCGACCTTTGGCGAATGAGCTTGAGGCGCATTGGACTGCGTCTCAGCACGAATACGTTTCTGGAGGATAGTCTTCTTGTACGTCTCGAATTGTGGAAGGGCGTAGATATAGTTGAAGGCCACCATGAAGAGGACGACCCATTCAAGCCACCGAAAGTCCTTCTTCTCAGCCAGAAAGCCGCCGATAACAGGCCCTAGACTTGACCGTTAAAGACGATTTCATAAGAGAACAGCGGGAAAATTTCTTACCAAAAGCCGGTCCGAGGAATGGAGATACGAAGTAGAAAGGATAGACGAATCCCGCCAGTGCGGGTGGCCATAGATCGGCGTTCGTCCCGCCACCGACGGAAACAACGGCACTACCAAAGAAGCCGGCGAAAAAGCGACACACAATCAGTGTCGTGAAGTTTTGTGCCAGTCCCGAGCCCAGGATGAAAAGTCCAAAGACTGGAACGGTGCTGAGATAGACGATCCTGCGGCCATAGTATTCACTCACGGGTGCGGCTATGATGGCACCAAGACCGAGGGCCCAGAGGAAGAGGGAAAGGCCGAGGAGAGACGCAGTATGCGACACTCCAAACTTTTCCGACACATCGTTGGCGCCAGAGGTGTAGACGGAAGAGGCAAATGACCTGGGCGAGTAGGCTTTAGCCAGAGTCTTCGAGTTGTCTTCGGAGAGGGTTGCGCTTACACATTGACACAAAGAAAAGCTGGAATACTGGTGCTGTAGATGCGCTTCCACAATGGCCAGTTGTATGGACAGTCTGGGTCATCTGGTCCCCTCCAGTCAGGCGGGTCAACTTCTTGTGGGTTTGCCATGCTGGTGGGCAGGCGGGCAATTGTGGGAATCCTTGTCTGGGCCAGATATTCAGCAAGGAGTTGGCGATCTATGGCCTCGATTCGAGTTCTTGGATAGATGTTGTAGGCCGACAAGAGAGGGGAAGACGAGATACTTCTCAAAGGCACTTCCAATCGCGGGAAAGGACTTTGCTCGGTACAAGAGTAGCTAAAAGCAGAAATAGCAAAATTTTCACCTCGACGCGATGGAAGGCAAAGGCCCCTGACTCTGACGATAACCTCCCCCCAGACCAACCTCACCAATGAGAGAGAGTCAACGAAAGTCGCCCTTGAAAGGTAGGACACCAGGCTTTTACACAAGAAGTAAGCAAAAAGAGGAGCCCAGCACCCGCGAAGCCGCGAGGTCTGCGAAGTAGGGGTCGGCCCGTCACGTCACTAACGGTGTGCATTAGCTCGCCGGCCAGCCTAGGTCGCGTATCCTGTCAGATATAAGGCGCAATCTCACAAGATCCATCCGGAATGCCGTATGCGGCATCAATTCGCAAAGCGGCCAATGGAACCACCCACGTGAAGCGGCGACGCCAGTAAGCAACCAAAATCTTGTACGTAATGACATACCTAAAGTAGAACACTTGGTCAACCTTGTTGAACCATCTTCAACCTCTATGTCTGCAATTTTCTGAGTTTCTGTCGAAGTTCACTTGCACAGACAGTAAGCTGAACCCTTGTTCGCAAACGCCCCACTGTACTGCTTGGCAAAAGACCCTTGAGTCGATTCCATGAACACCGGCCCCATCTTCCGGGCGGGCGTGATGACTTCCCACCTCCCTCTTGCAGCTGGATCTCCCGAGCTCCGCCGGGGAAGCCCTTGTGTTCTCAAGCCTCGCTCAGAGTCAATTGGACGTTTGGTTTGCCAACCTTGCGAACTATGCGTCTTCGCCGTGGACGTCTAACCGCGTCCCTGCCCTACGGATGTCTTGAAAATTCTGCCGCAGCAAGGCGAATTACAAATGAGGGGAATGTTTTGTATCCCCTTGATCCACTATACCTATTTTGACGTCGTCTAGGCAGCAACAAGCAGTCCACACAAGAGTCCTTGTCGGTTGTTCGGAGGGTTTATGTCTAGTCCCAGAGGCTAGACTCCGACAAAGCATCAGATTGCCCCGAACGATTCACAATCACTACAATTACTACAGGTACTAGTAAGGTATAGTTCTGTTACACGCGCACCAAGCCTCGGTAGAATTTCAACATCAAGCATGTCTTGATCCTATTCATTGTTTACAGCAGTCCGACTGAACGAGCTGCTGACGGGGGGGGGGGGGGGGACGGTTCGGGAAGAATAGTTGGATTCTTCTAGCTAAACTTGACTCGACCACAAATGATAATCGTCGAGTCGCAGTCACTCAAGTCCCGAGACTTGATTCGTCAGGCCGAGCGGCAAGTCGGTGGAAATCCGCCGCAGGACACAACATCTGGAAGGGGCCACAAGAGCATCTCACGACATGTCTTGGGGTTCCTTGCCCCGAGTTCAGGGTGGCACCGTACTTCTGCATGTGCTTTGACTGCGGTGCTGCAGTCATCTCAAGGGTGATATTAAAATTTGACGAGACGACTTGTCCCCCACGTCGTGCATCTACAGCCTCCTCTCGCTCCAGGCACCCAAGTCGTGATCCGGAACGTTTTGGGAAGCTTCGAAGAGTTCTCCAGGCGATTTCCTGTGGCAAGGCTGTCTGCCGTAGTTGCTTCATGGACTTTCTATAAAAAGGTAGGTCCGGATGCCAGTGCTTACGTTCTCCTGAATCAAGCAAACCAGTCGAGCACGAACTCTTCTCCTTCCTTTCTTTGACCCTTTCCTTCGGGGCGCTTTCGTTCGGAGAGAAGGCAAAAATCATCATGCGGTTTCTTATTACCACAACTACTCTTTCCATTCGTGGCGGGACGAAAAAGTCCACTTACATCAGCTTACACGATCCCCAATCTGATCTTTCCGCCCCTTTGTCCAACCGCAATGAGGTGGATGTATGGATCTGCGACGGCCCAGAAGTCACTGGTGATCTGATGGACCAGTGGTTGGAGCAGTCTAGCCATAGCCCCAAGTCCATGCTCGTGAGAGATGTTGAAGCTATCTCACGTCTGAGACACCATGCTAGGAGCCGCTTGTTCCACATCGCCACCTTCCCTGAGCACGTGGATGGTGTCTCAAAGAAGGAGTGGGAAGAAGCTGTCCTTCGTGAAGCAGAGATGCTATACGCCAGGGCCCGTGCCGAAACTGATACTCAACGCGTCAACGCCAACATTGAGACCAAGGGGTCTTCACCTAGTGAGACCAACGTCTTACTCATCGGCGCCGGCATCATGAACCTTATTGCCGCCCATCTTCTTGCCAGGCGCGGTTACAAAGTTCGCGTCGTCGACCAAGGTCCCGACCCTCGGGCTTGCCAGCTCAAAGACTGGACCGCGCTGGGAGTAACGAGCGGCGGACACAATGCCCGCATGTTCACAAACACAGAGGCGGACAACTACAATGAGCAAGACAGTGAGATCTACCAAGACATGCAGTCTATCTTCCGTAAGACTGTTCGTGGCGGTGGATGGAGTGTAAAGTCTCCTGAGGATTTCAACGCCGCAGAGAATGACTGGGTCAGCGCTTTTGAGCGTGTTCCAGGCTGGATGGCGGCACACTTCAAGAAAAACATCCATGAGGTCAACGTTGAATCCGGAAAGCTCTGGAGGGACCTGATGAAGAACGAGCCTCAGCTCTTCGAGGATGTCGGGCTTCACGAAGACATCATACGCCTGTACGTCGAGGATGTGGCCTTGGAAGCATCGGTTGGGCTCAACCAAAACCTCGGGGCTCTTCTGGAGGCACCATCTACCCAGAAATTCTTGGAGACATATCCTGTCTTCCGCCCGGCTGCAGCAGCAGATCATCTTGCTGGAGGCATTATTGTGGATGGTTTTACCGTGAACATTCACTTATTCGTGGGCAAGTTGATCGATTCCATCTCCAACCTCGGCGCCGAGTTCATTTGGGACTGCGAGGTCCAGGCCATCCAGCGCAACTCCGCTAGCGAGGTGACTGTTTTGAAATCAAAGAAAGGCGACCTGAAGGCTGATCACTTCATTTTGAGTCCTGGTACGACCGGAAGCGCACTGCTCCAGGGAACAGCCAGCGAGAATCTCATCCAGGGGGTCCTAGGTATCTGGCTGCAGATTCCCAACCTGGACCCAAAGATGCGCAACTCGATGAAGATCCATAGACGAGGACACAAAGTCGAGGATATTAACATCACTGTGGCAAAAGACCGCGAGACTGAGGAGGACATCCTTGTCTTTGGCGGCGCATACGGCTACGTCGGCCTGGGCCGTCCAGACCCAGACTCTCCTGAGATGAAGGCTCTCTACGATGAGCTGGAAGAGGTTGCGCGCATCTATTTCCCGGAAGGTTACGCAGCCGCAAAAAGCCGTGGTCCAAATGTCATGTACCCTGGGGGTCATCGCAAGTACTGTGTCCGCCCGTTCACGCCTACTGGTCTCGGAGTATTTGAGAGAATCCCTACAGCAGGCGGCGGTCAGCTCATCGTCACCGGTGGCAACAACACGGGAGGCTTCGCTCAGGCGCCCGGCATGGCCCGTGCAATTCTACGGTCATTCTCGGGCGAACATGATCCTGTCCACATCCTCTTCCACCCAGATCGTGGCAAATTGCCTCCCGCAGTCAACTACAGATCTCGGACCCCGAGCCCGAGCCCGGCCTTGGCAACTAACGAGGCTCAGAAGACCTCGCTGAGGCTGCTCCTCGTTTGCTCCGACGGTCCTCAGCACCGCTACCTGCGATACCGCCTAGACCAGGCCTTCCCTGGCTACCGTTGTGTTCAAGAGACTAGCGACGGTCAAGTACGGCAGCTGATGAACAAGGGCCGTGTTGTCGACGCTTGCTGGCAACAGTACCACGGCCTCAGACGCGGCTTCTTCGGTCACGATGTCCGACGCGCGGCACACTTTGACAAACTTGTGCCATCAGACCACGTTTCGCCCGCGCCAGATCTGGTGGTTGATAGCGTCAACTGCCGCGCAGTATGGGATGCTACCGAGAAGTGGCAGCCGGAACTGACTATTGTCTCGGGGACCAAGTACATTGGCAAGAAGTTGATGGCACGCGCGGGACTGATGATCAACATGCACACTGGCCACTTGCCGGAGTACAAGGGCAACCACTGCGTCTTCTTTGCATTGTATGATGGGGCTGTAGACAAGGTTGCGTCGACCCTGCATCAGCTGACGCCAGAGCTTGATGGGGGTGATGTGCTCGATAGGGTGTTTCCGGACATTGACCCCGAAGATAACGAGGATACGTTGTACACCAAGTGTCTTGAGAAGTCGATAGATCGATGCATAGAACACATCAAACAGTTCTCGAAGGGAAAAACACTGGAATTTGTACCGCAGCAAGCTGGAGGTAGGACATTTCGGCACCGTGATCGTACGCCTGGAAAAGAACTTGCGTTGTGGTGGTTACTAAAGGCAGGCGGCTTATTAAAGTCCACCCTAGCGAGCAGAGAAGTAGATAGAGCTTAAGAGAACATTTCCAAATAGTACTTAATACTTCTTATCTTATTAAGTACAATAACATATCCTTAATTTACTTCTTAAATTTGTTGATAAATAATTACATAAATAATCGTTTTATAAAAAAGATTAAGACCCTAAGTTATCGTACTAATTCATAAGAAATAATTTATAACAAATACATTTTATAGTCTTTTATACTTATTGTTAATTTTTCAGATTTTATTTTATTTATCAAATCAATTTATTACTAATATTTAAATAGATTTATTGATCATTAATTAATTACTGAAATCGTTGAGAAGCATGTCAAGACACTTGATAGATCACGAGTAGCAAATCATAGAAATCACAAAGAGAACAAAGTGAATGATAAACCGAAAACCTGTATTCTCGACCTGTCTGCCACTTGGTATGGTCGGTTCCTAGCAATAGCCATTCCTGTTCCTCCGTCACCCATCCCACGTCATCTCAGCGCGCGTTTAGCCAAGGCACAAGTTGACTGTCTGCACTGCCTCAGCGGCGTCGTCGAAGCCCTCAATGTTGGCGACGCCGAGGATCGCGCCGATGTGCGCGAGGGTGATATCCTTGTTGTTGATGTACTCCACGAGTCCGTCTTTTCCCAGAGCAAAGAGCTGAGCGTAGCTGTGCTCCTGTGCGTACATGTAGGCGGCACCCGCAGTGAGGCAAATGTCGTCAGCGCTGCGCGACTTGATTGCGTCAACAAGCTGGTTCTCGTGAACCGTGGCCCAACCCTTGCGGGCGGTCGAGTCGGACTTCTTGAAGATTCCGGTGACAACCGAGATCTTAAGATTGTACGAGATTTGGTTGAGGGGGAGACGACCCAGGGGTTCGTCGTCCTCGATCAATGCGCCGCCAATAGCCCGGATCACGGCGACAACGCGTGGGACATTGATGAATCCCTCGTTCTCGTAAACGAAGGCATGGAGGCCAGGGCCCCAATTGATGACTTCAAACGGACCGACCTCTGGCAAAATCGAGTGCATCTTCTCCGAAAGGTACTTGTAATAAGTCCTGTCGGTCGTCAGGCGGTCGATCTTGCTCTGGAAGGCGGCGGAGATAATGGCGGTGTTGGTCGGAGTCTTCGCCGTGGAGGACGACGCGCGAGCGTTCGCGGACGCGGCGCGGGCGGCGATTTCGTCCTTGAACAGAATTCGGCGGGGTCTCTTCAGGCTCCTCGTCGTCTGAGATGTCGGTAGCGGTATGCTTTTTAGCGGTGGAACCACGGGTCTCCGTCTCGGCTTCGTTAATGTATAAAGAAAGCTGTCGTAAATAAAAGTTTATGTTCCTCCCGTTCTTACAGGCTTTCTTATCGCACCAAAGTATATATTTTGCCTCACTGTCACTGTCTGCCCCGTAGGAAGTTGGTTTTGAAGCGGGTATACCATTTAAACCGTAGGCCTCATCCTTCCAACCGTAAATGTCGTTGACTTTGGGAGTGAACTCTCCGCCGCTTCTCGTCAAATAGATGATGTCTCTCTCTGAACTCCATTCGAAGCGTGCATCACAAATAGGGCATATTGTTGCGTAGGCCCGACCGTTACGCGGCGTCGATAACCCTCCGTACCAAGGATCACTCGCGGCAACTTGAGGATTTCGCCACTGGGGTCGACTAAATGCCCACCCAAAGGCGCTCTTTACGCCTAGTGGTGGATTTGGGTGGCTTTCCAAGATGTTGAGTTCAGAATCAGGGTCGAGGGGCTCCATCAGCTGCTTAAAAGTTCTGTGTGGACAAAGCAAGCGTCCAAACCTTCCTTGAAGCTCTTTGAACTTGGTTTCTAGAATGATGTCGTCAAATGGCTGGTCGTCTGATACTGGCATCACGGGAAACTTCCAAGATACGGTATAGAACCTAATCAAGGACTTTGCTCCATGATTCGTATTGAATGTCCTGATCTCTCCACGAAGCGAAGGCGGCTTCATTTCCTGGATCGAAAGCCCCTCGCCAATCTCTTTGCAAACTGAGCACTCTTCCAGACACCATCCACGTGGTGAGGGTAAATTCTTTCTCCCTCCGGAGCGAAGCCAATCGAGTGTGGCTAAATGTAAATCTCGTTCCAAGTTGACAAGGGGTACTGAGGTATGGGTACATAGCTGAATGGAACCCTCGGAAAGCCGGCAAAAACGCTGATGGCCGAGGTTTTGCCGCCACAGACTTGAGAAATGAAGTCTCGGGTGGTCCCTAGCGCAGTACGAGCAGAACAGGCTGTCCTCCAGCTTCGACAGACGCTTTCTGAAATCTGCCGACTCCCTTGATGTACGGCAAGCCTGACAGAATGCCTGCTTCTTCGCAGCTTTCACCACGGACTCGTCCATCGTCAAGCCACTCGGGGAGCTTGATATATTCGAGGAATGTAGTTTTTTGAACGTACGGTCTTGATATAAGCGCCAAAAAGTCCATGATACTTGTCGCAGCATGTAGAGGTCGCTGAGCTCGGACTCGTGCATGATTTGTAGCAAAATCGCGTCCGGCAAAGCAATGAATCGGCTTTGCCGTAAGTTGGCAATGAGTTTGGCTTCCCAGCTGTAAATTCTGCTGGGCAGATCTGGCATCAAAACTTCCACTCCATTCGTGCTGTAGATGGTGTTTTGGCCGGTAATTTTGCAGGTATTAGCCCCGTCGCCGGTGTCAGAATCACTGGTGATCGTTTCCCAGTCCGTGTCCACGAGGCCTTCATCGCCTGTGTCTCCGTCTATGTTTCCAGATCCTGAGTCGGGTACGCATGTCATGCGCATTTCCTCCGCTGCGCTTGGTTCTCTACTGACGATCTTCTTGCCCAAATCATATAGATCCTGATTTTCTTTGATGTCCTCGTTCTTGTCAAGGCCCCGTTCCCTCCAAGCCCTGATAATAGTGCTAATTCCGAGGCACATCGTAGCGTAGCGTCAAGCGGAGTGATGATGATGGAGACAATGCTACTGTGAGAGAACTGCAGAAATGGTCCTGATAATTGTGTTAAGTCTGGTCAGATCTTTGGTTCAGTTCATAGTGATTGAGCGAGACACACAGCGGAGATACCAGTGGCTCATGAATAGCATCAAAAGGTTTCGCAAGAACCTAGATGGGCTCTCCACATCAAGGTGCATCTTGTGGCTTGGATGGCGAATTTGAGTTCCGAATCTTCTCCATGGCTAGCATCTCAACTTCAGCTGTGCTCACAATATATGTCCACGAGCAAGCGATGAAGCACTATTATCTCCATAAACAGATTTCTGGTCCTCCGACCTTCCTGACAGGAAGGGTTGCTTTTCCCGCTGAGTATGGAGCAATTGCATGTGCAACAATTTAGGGGGGGGGGGGGCGGAAACCAATGGTATTAAGCAGCGAGTCTGAGTAATGGACAAAATCCGCGTGTTTCAATCGGGTTCCAGGGCAGAAGCGATCGGTTCTTGGCATTCACCGGGCCGCTGCCGAAGGCTCGGCGCCCGCGCCCTCCGAGTAGCCCCTTGAACAAACCCGGTGGCATCTCCGATTGACTGACCCGTTCGATCGGGTCCACCAGAATAAAGAATGGATGAGCCCCCTCTAGCCTTGAGCTCTTGGCCAAGAGTGGCGCAATTCCTCTGGACAGAGCCCTGCGCCACGGGGCAAGATCAATTTCTGTTCAATGCATCCGGACCGGAGCGCTTTATATAGCAATAAGGCTGAGAAGATACGAGAAGTGGTCCCGGTAGCCAGGTCATGTTTTCTTCAGAGCCTCAAAAGATATAACGTCGAACGAGGTGTTTGTTTCCAACGGTCCAGTATCTCTAGAGTATGACTCGTCAACGGGCAGAGAAGCCACTCTTTCATCATCTCTCTCTCTCCACATCCGACAACTCAGTCCGCAAAACCATGTCTCCCATTCAGGAACCCAGCGTTCCCGCTCTCACGGAAATGGATCAAAGGGGGGACGTTGTCTTCGTCGTCGGAACGGCAGTCGATAACACCCCTGCCCGGAGCTTCCGCGTCTGTTCCCGGACAATGGCACGCATCTCCCCCGTCTTTGACCGCATGCTACACGGCAACTTTGCCGAGTCTAAACCGACAGCACCAAGCTCCGATCTCATCGGCCTTTCACCATCCGGAATCAACGGAACAACGATATCGCCGGCGAAAGATTGGATCGTCCACCTTCGCGACGACAGGCCCGAGTCTTTTGACCTACTCGCGAGCATCGCCCACAGTCAATTCCAGAGGATTCCGCGCGCCTTGTCGATTTCTAAGCTCTACGAACTGACGGTACTGACGCACTACTATGACGCGACTCCTGTGTTGTCACCTTGGCTGCAAACTTGGGTTTCGGGCATCGCAGAGTCACCAGAAACGACCAGTAGTAGCATCGCTGGGCCCGAGGGAGAGCTTTTGATGCCTAAGTTGCTGTGGATTTCGTGGGAGCTGGGTCATAAGCAGCTCTTTGAGTCGACGGCGCGGCGAATGGTGATGGAGAGTAGTGGGAATTTGTTCGGGGACGAGAGCGGGCTTAGCGAGTTGAGTATGCCGCCGGACGTCATTGGTGAGTCTCTTTCCCTGCTCAGCAACCCTACTTGCCTTCTTTCTCCATTCGATTTCAAGTTTTGATGAGGACCTTTTTACTGACATCTATCTCATAGAACGAATCGCTGCCATCAGGACGCAGACAATTCAGTCCATCATGGACGTCTTCAGCACTCTGGCAGAGAAGCTCGTCAGCGTAGATGAAGGGCCTCGGTGGTGCAGACATGCGTCATACATGGGGCCGCACCGGTGTGAGAGTATGATACTTGGCAGCATGACCTTTTGTCTCATGAGGGCAAGTCTATGGCCAATTCCAGAGGCGGACGACATCGACGAGAGCGTATTGACGCTATACTCAACACTGATGAACCTGGTAATCCACGACATCGGGCGGCCGTCGGATAAGGGCGGCGTCGATCACAGCGAGTGTAATCCCAGGGGGTTTTTGATGGAAAGGATTAAGAATATTTTGGCAGACGTGCCGAGCCCCGTAGGGGAGGCACATCGGAAACAATTGGATAGACAGATACAGAAGCTACTTGTTTGATTAGGGTTGCATATAAAATAGGATAGACAAAATGAATGCAAAATATTGAAACGGTTGTGTAGCCAGTGCGACCTTTTCACCGCGGGTTCTCTTTCACGAGACCATGCCTGAATAACAACTGAGATGAGCAGTAATCCAATGATCAAGACGAGCTGATTTAGTGTTCCAAGTTGAATAGACTCGGCATCTTGATTATCCAGAGTTTTAAGGTGCATCGTGGCTTAGTCGTGTTATATCTAAGACTTCTTCCCATCCTGGGGCGACGTAGCCTAGGGTGTTGGCAAGTTTATTGACTGGCTCTTCCTTCAACTTTCTCGGACTATTCCAGAATCTACCTTACAGACTCTCTTTTGACACCAAAAACTCTCATTCGTTTCCCTCCAAAGCTGTGCGAGGTTACTTTGCTGAAAAGAACGACATCGTCGAAATCCTGGCGTATGGTATTGACGCCAACGGCACGAGAATACTTGCGATTGCTTTGTTACGGGATCTAGGGGTACACCATCGCAATAGTGTGGCGAGGGGTTACGGGTAATGAGAGTTATGGCAACGTATTCAATGTAGTCCTTGCACGATCAAATAAGCTTATGCAACGGCTACTTCAACATTCTCCATGAAGCTCTTTCGTGCGTTTGAGACGGCGAGCCCTCGTTGACGGCGCGTGGTGTGTCCCTCCAGCCCCCTTTTCAGAACCGGAACAACTCCCGAAAGATCCCTGATGGTCAGGCTTGCATTTAGGGCTGCTGCGGCGAGCGCTAATCGGGCGTCAATAATGCCCGAATTCGGACGACCGTGCCACAGCCGACGGGATGAACAGGCCTCACTGAGTAAGCATAGCCACTGGAGTGGGTTGACTACCAGCCAACGTATGTTAAGTTTCGGTAGTGGAAGTATTTTTATCTATTCATATACCGAAGCCCCGCGCGGGAAGAGTATCGAACAGGAGTATCGTCATTCATCCATGCACTGAAGTCATTGCAAGATCGCAGACTGCGTTGACTTAGCTGAGCATTCCGGTTAGACGATAGTGCACTTCGAATACCAGCTCAGAATCGGATCAACATCGATGGCAACTCAATCGCACCGGCAATGTCGAGAACGCGGAGCGGCTGTTTGAACTGCAAACGCCGCCACCGCAAATGCGACGAGGGCCGACCCGAATGTTTACAATGTATAGGCCAAGGTGTTGAATGCGAAGGATATCAGACCGTCCTGCGATGGGGTTCAGGTATCGCCTCGAGGGGGCGCTTCGCCGGAGCGCTTGTGCCTGTCGAGATCGAAGCGCCTCCACCCGCCAAGCGCAAGAAGCGATCTAAACTTGATGAGAAAACAAGAGAAGGTGACAGCCTTGTCAGAGAAGGCTCATCTGAGACTTCCAAACAGCTCGATCCAATTGCTGTGGCAGTTCCATCCACAGGACTCACGACCGCGGCTGGCTCAGGCGCGGCGCCACCCGAGACAACCTGGCCAGGCCATACGGAGCAGGATAGGCGTCTTTTGGAAGAATGTGAGTCAAGCGATCATCTGTGTGCCTTATCGTCCCCGTGGGATTCTCTGACGGGTCTGGTGACGTGCTAAAATTGAATGACCCATGCTTCAAACCCTGAAGTTCATACTTTATGCTGGGCTGGCCACTGACAGAGTGTCTTATCCTGCCTTAGTCAATGAGACCACTGTCTTTATGCTTCATTCTAGCCGTCGGGATGGCTTGTTCAGGTCGAAACTTCGCCAACTAGCAGAGAGATCTGAAGCACTCTGTGCTATTTTGCTGGCCACGCACCTCTATGTTTCTAATCCAGATGATCCTTCAGAGCTTTTTGAAGAGTACTATCTCCGAGGCCTCTCGCTCTTCCGCAACCAGTTGGAGTCGTTCCATGGGAGTATCGACCTGGGCGCAATGTATGCTGGGCTTTTCATCTGCACCCTAAATGTGAGTTATCTTGCAAGTGGTCAACAACCCACTCAGGTGTCTTACCACGATGCATGAAATCTTTCTTGTCTCATCTCTTAAGCTTTGTGTCCAATGATTGATGCCTTCCAAACGCCTTTTTCTATCAGATCTTAAATACTAATTCTTAACGAACTCAGCTATTTCAGAGTACCCCTTGGTCTATCCACCTCGAGCTCATGACAACAGTCTACGGTCTTAACAGTGACCTCCACAATTCACCTGTCCTATCTGAACCTGAAGCGCGGTTTGCGTTAGAGCTAATGGGTCTCATGGACATGCCAACCTTTGTCCGCGGTCGCTCAACTTTGTCGCTAGGAATCTGGAAAAGATTGCGGCTTGCACAAGGATCATTAGGTATAAAAAGGGGCGGCATTCAATCTATTTCAAGCCTTCCAAGATCCTTGCTCGACATTTTTGCGAACATTCAGGACGAAGGTTCTGACACAGATTTCTTGCAATGGTTTGGAGAAACGGGGGAGGTACCACAGATTCATCTGTGGGAGGCGTATCGTCTCGCAGGTATTCTGACTGGTCGACGACTACGCAGCCGTGCAAATACAAGCATTACGGCAGCTGCATCAATACCAAGCTCTGCCACTCCTTCCGTCGAGGTACTATTAGGCCGCTTAGTCGCTTCCATCGACGCGCTCTGCGACGCAACCAGCCGGCCTGAATACTCACAGCTTCTGACGACAAATGCACTGCTCTATCCCTACGTAGCTGCGCGGCTTGAAGTGGCTGTCTTGCTTCGCCAGCCCGCCTGGATGGAATCACTCCGGCGCGTAACAGAGAAATATCAACCATACGGAAAGACGGCGAATGCGCGTAACATTACCGAGATGCTAGATGAAGCCTGGGACTTGGGAGACGATGCCTATGATATTGATGAGCAAGCAAAACGGCGGAATGTAGAGGTTGCCCTGTTCTGAGTAACTACCACAACATTTTACTTCGGGAGTCTATCGCATGGGCGGTATCTCTTCAAGTTCTGAACTCTCTAAAGTTATGTAAAAGCCACTCAGCATGTCGGGATCGGTATCACACTCGTTTTTTGTCTCTTTACATGTACTGATATTAAACAACACATTATTTCTAATGGCATTGTCAATGTGACTCGCCTGGTACTGCTGTCTAGTATCTCGTCGAAATGCACAGGTCGTAACACCCTTTGACTACTTACCCATGGCCACTTTAAAGCAAAAGCTTCAGTGACTTTTCATCCCTGTTCATCCCACGGGTCTCCCCACACAATCAATCCGCCTTGAGACTAGGTAACCGGCTGAAATCCTCTGAAGTCGCCGCATAGCTCTGCCTTGTCATAAAGCCCTTCATCATGTCGCAGGATGTTATCTCGGGCCTCCGGAAATGGTAAGATATCAATTCATGAATGGTGAGCAGTTCGTAAGCTGAAGTTGGGTGGGCTTGAGGCTTTCAGGTATCAGGTTGTACGCTGCCTCTGGATAACCTCCACCGGCAGTCCACGACCGAGCATGCGGAGCCATAACCTCATAAACAAAACTGAACGACAGTGCACCATAATCTCAACACTTGGATAACCTCAAGATGATCTCAGGCTTCTTCTACTGCAGGTACACAATCTGATCCATGCACTGTCATATTATATCACTGATTCTTTGAAGAATATTTCCAGAACTATTGTTCTAATTATTACACGTATCTCGAATTTGAATATTATGTCAGATGAAAACCGAGGCCACTCCTAAACACGCCCCGTCACAACTTTGCCTCCAATTACTTCTTTGTCGGCTATCACAGAGTTGTTGTACGCAGTCACATCCCGGAAGTAGAGCTCCGTCCCCGGCGTCTCGTAAGTCCCATCACTATCCAGTCCCCTAAGATGGAAGATCTGGTGTGTACGCCCTGCTCCCGAAGTAACGGTGTTGTCAGCGTATCTGGAATAGTTCGCGGTGCCGTTCCTGTCCGTATCAATGACGCTACCAACCCATTTCGACCCCTCGCCCTCAAAGGCTTCGAGGCCGGTCGGGTAGACGGTGTTTCCCTGGACATGAAGCTTGAGGCCTTGGTCTAGCTGTGCCCAGAGAGTAAGATTTCCCGCTGGGAGGTACGAGGTGGTAGTGTTGCAATAGAGCGGGTACGAAAAGGTCGTCTTGTAATCCCAACCAGGAACTTTTGACGTCTCCTCGCCGATAGTCGAGAATGTGTTGATACCTCCGTAACCGTTAGCGTACAGGCCTCCGACGTTGGAGTATGAGAGGCTCTGCTTCCATGTTGCCGTGCCGTTGCCCTTCTGCGTGGTGAGGAACGAGGTGATTGTGAAATCGCGTTGCACCGATAAGGAATAGTCCAGGGTTGAGTTGAACCCCGTAGCGTTTTGCTTAAGCGTTTGTGAGAAGGCAATGGAGGGCTCAGGGTTTGTCTTCTTAGAAATGACACCTGTCGTGATGCTTCCTTCGTCGTCAAGCCATAGGAAGACCTTGCCTACAAGGTACCAACTGCTGCCCGTGGTATTTGTGAGGCTGGCGCTTGACTTGCCATCGTCCACTAGACCGACAACCTTGATGCCGATAGTATGGTTTTTTCCATCACAAAGAAGGGGCAGCCATGGGGTGATGTCGATCTCGTGGTCCCGCAAGTCAAATGCGTTGATACCCACAATCGGGCGATGGAGTTGCGGCACAACACCGCCAGTGAAGATATCCGGGAAGGGCCAGTGTACACCCGCCAACTGACCGTCGATGAGGACTTGGACCTCTCGGAAGGGCGAGTATCCCGGATAGCTACCCACATCCGGCACAAAAGCATCAACGGCTGACTGCGGGACGTTGCTCCACCAAAACTCTTCATTCCCTTGTCCCTTGACAGACGTG